CCTCTCTGTTTCCTAATCGGTAAAATGGGCATAATCAAATGTATCTATCCCACAGGGATGTTGTGAGGCTTAATTCATTAGTGCCGTAAAGCACATTGACCTTCTCACATACAAAGCAGGACAAATATAACAAGTTATGCAACATCTTTCTTGTTCCCAACAAGTGGAATTAAAAGACATAATTCTTGCGCACATTTCAATTATTCTGTTTTGTACCACAGTGGACAAAATATTCTTTGTTTTGCTTTACAAGCTGGACTAGCCAAGTGCTATGGAGGACACAAGATATGGGATGCAAAGGGAATTGTCACTGTAATTAACAGATGTCAGAGGACATGACCCTGTTTCAAATACCAGGGAGGTTTGGATAACTGAGGTGCCTGTAAGTGTAACACTGTAAGGCCATGTCTGCACTAAGGATGCTACAGCCACACAGTTGTAGTGTTGCGGCTGTGCCGCTGTAGGTGCGTATTGTAGATGCTTCCTACATTGGTGGAACGGGTTTTTCCATCACTGTAGTTAATCCATCTCTCAGAGTGGCGGTAGCTAGGTTGATGAAAGAATTCTTCCATTGACCTAGTCATATCTATACTGGGGGTTAGGTCAGGTTAACTATGGCACTCAAGGGTGTGGATTTTCCACATATGATGTAGGTAGGTCAATTTTAAGTGTAGACCAGGTGACCAGGTCTAAGTGAAACGTATTTATTATCAGTCTTTCTGGCTATAGGCTTTGCAGGGCTGTAAATAGTCTGACATGATTTCTATGGATGAGCTAATTAGACAGTGACAGTTTGGAATGCTAGCAGTAGACTTCCAGGTAAGGCCCTATCCTCCCATCCCTTTCTTACATGAGTAGCGCTTACTGATTCAAGTAGTCAGTAACATCAATGGGACAAGTCAATGTCAGAATTGGGCCCTGTCATTGTATCAGGTTGCTTTTGCTAGAGATGTGACATGACTGACAGTAACTTTCAGAGGCATGTGATGAGTACATTTTTAGCTCCAAGTACAGCATATAATTTTTGTATTTTATATGGAGTAGATGTACATACATTGAGCAGAGGATCTGGCCCAGTGTATATTGTACTGCTTAAAGGGTAATTTAAGGGAGAACAAGAAAATGTTACACAAGGTGCTGTGAGATAAAAGGCTAACCACAAACCAGGAGATATAAAGACATCATATTTCTTCCAAGAGTTAAGATGCATACTGCAACTGTGTTGCATTTTCTACATTTAATGGCACCCACAAGATTGTGTAAGGAACCTTTTTATAAAATTAAAAGCACATGACCTTCCCTATGTTTTTATATTTTCTGAAATATTTTGATTCCTAGAGATTTGTTGTTATAGGAGAAAAACTTTTTTCAATGTGTTTTCAACATACACTTTAATTTCAAGAGAGTAAAGGAACATGGCATGGACTGTGACATGAACACTGCAATGGTCGTGATCCAAAGTTACAGAGAAAGCATGTGTTTTGGCTGATCATGGGAAAATATAACAAGGAACATATGCTACCAAGAAGAAAAAAAATATATCTACTCCAGATCTACAGCTGATGTAAGAGCCATAGCTCCATTGACTTTAATGGAACTACACTCGTGTAAATCCACATAACTCCACTTAAGTCAAGAGCTATGTTGATTTACAGCAGCTGACCTTTATATGTCAAATAAAAAAAGCCAACAGAGTAGATCCCTAACTATGGCTAGGAATCTCCACAGAAGCTAATCTTTATGTTATCTGCAGAAGCAAAAGGGTTTTTGTTTTGTTTTTTACAATTTACTTCAAATGCATAATAGCATTTCACAGTCTGCCTACCTATCAGAGCAAATCAGGTTCATCTGCCGAGACCCAGAACTATTTTCATGCCAATTTCCCACACAGACTTCAAGCACTAAACATTTTCTAATGCAAACCACAATAAACAAACAAATAAATAAATAATACAAATGATATCAGTGGAGTGGCTTAAACCTAGTAAGCCAGGAAGTTCAGAATTAAGACAAACACTCTTTCCTTAATTCAGCCTTGTGGGCCAACTGTTGTGTAATGTTGATGTTTGCTGCTTAAGAGCCGCCATATTTTACCCCAGAAGTGGCTGCATGTCTGGGATGGAGCAGGTAATCATTAGATTCATACATCTTAAGTCCAGAAAAGATCATGTAGTCTGGCTTCCTACATAATACAGACTATCAAATTGCACTCAGTTATGCCTGCTGCAATGGAGGGAATTATTCTTCCCTACCATATAAATAAGTGGTAGAAAGGAATCCCGCTAGAACACATACCATGAGCAACATCTCTTTCCTCTCATTTTGTGGCTCATCTAATTTTAAAGGTATGTTCAAATAATGTTAAGGATCTGGTGTAAATCCACAATACAAAAGGATTTCAGAATTAAAACTAAATATATATCCCTGACTCACCCTTTGTTAATCCTTAGTTATTGTAACAGTATTCCTTAGCCACAAAAGGGTGAGTCAAGGATGTAACTTCAGCTCAGAAATTCCTTGCATTGTGGTTTATACCACAGGTTTATTTAAAAATAACACATTGTGCTTTGATTTATCTTCATATGCACAGAGTTATTGCTCATGCACTGTGGCCTAGAATTACAAATTCTTATATCAATGGACCTGTTAAGGTTAACAGAGCTTCCTATAGTATTCCTATATTCCCAGCATAGACCAGACTATGTGCTATGAATATGCAGATGGGATGGTGTGAACTCTATTACCAATCCATCATCTGGAAAGTTTTGGAGGGATAGTTTATTCACAACAGATACCATAGTGGCATATGGTGGGAATGTATATTCACAGGAGCATGTGTATCTGTGTATAACAGAGCCACCATCATGAAACTAATAAAATTCCCACTGAAAATATTTACTGTGGGCTAAATCCTGAAGATCTTACTCATTCCCACGCAGGCAAAACTCCTAGGTTACTACATGGGAATTTTGCCTGTGTAAGTATTGCAGGATATTGGGCTCAGTCTCAAAGTTTGGTGTAGCACAGTAGCTGCTTAAAAATACATATTGATATGAAATTAGTGCTCATGACAACAATGCCAGTTTTCCAGCACTGAAAACTGGACTCCTCTCTCCATAGAACAAGTACAGAAAAGACAAGAGCTGGCAAGCTTCCCTTACTCTGTGAAACCCATTTAGTCCTGGGCTTCTCTGCAGAACAGGCTATCAATGATGCCCATTATGACAGCAGTACCTGTCCACTGAGACTCCAAACAGCCTTCCAGGAGGTAAGGGAACTGAAACTAAATTGAGGTATTTAGCACTGAGAGCAGAATGTGTGCCTCCATGACACTGGAATAAATACAGAATAACACAACTGATTTCAGTGGAATTATTCTGGATTTACCCAGGTGTAATTGAGAGCAGCATTTGTTCTGGAGCACATACATCTTGATCTGAACAATACTTAGTAACTAACATTGCTTTTCTCTTGTGTTCCTTTTCTTTATATGTACCCTATTACCCCATGCTTAAACCATCATCTTAGTGATTACTATTTAAATTAAGATCAATTATAACATCTGAGCTGGTAACTGATTTTCTTCAGAAAATACCAGAAGATCACAGGGCCTGATCCAATGCTAATTAAAAATCAGTGGAGTGACTCCCATTACTTTCAAGGGCTTTGGATCAGACCTACAGTTTTTATGGACTGAGAACTCTGTTTTTTAATTTTAAATTAGAGGGTGATATAAAATACTATGATGATGAAGCGCATATAAGTCCTAGATAGATAGACAGACATATATTTTCATTTTAAAAACAGCTGAGAGTTAGTTTAAAAAAAGCATAAAAGCATATGATATTTTATTACCGTCATCTAACTCAGTGACAGCACAACAAATATTTTAGGACCTAATTCTTCACATGTCACTCCAGTTTTACAGGTGTAGTCATTGCCATTGAGTCTGGTGGAGTTATGCCTGCGTAAAACTGGAGTAACTGGAAAGGGAATCAGCCCCCTAGTTTTTAAATTGTGTTTTAAATAAGGACAGCATCCAGGGGAAAGACCAAAACAAGCACAGTGGTATGCCAAGATCTAATTTAAAGTGGATGCATGACCCCTTGTAATGACTTGTCACAACATTCAATGAATGGTCTGTGACAGAGGCTGCCCAGTGAATTCTAACCAATTTTCCTGGTAGAATTGCCTCAGTTAAATGTAACTTTGCTTGATTTCAAGACTGCAGTAGTCTCGATTCACTTTTTTGTGCTTGTTTATTCCCCTGGAAGGTGGCAAGTCAAATAAAAATGAACCTACTCTGGGCAATTTCTCTGCCAAGTCAGTGATAAATACTGACAGCCAATTTCGAAACTCCTAAAGGAGGGTTGTCGTGGAGCCGGGTAGAGCAAGAGGGGAACGTACCTCCAGCCAGAGCAGACGGCGTCCCCGCGCTCCGGGCGAAGGAAAAGCCCCGCGGCTGCTGCTATTTCGCAGGCTCGGTTCAGCGCCCGACCCGAGCTCCCGTGCGCGGACCACGCCGCAGCGCCCAGCCCGGCCACCGAGAGACCAGCCCGGCCTCGCTCTCGGGCCAGCTCCCACCGCTCCACTGGGCTGGGCTGCCTGCAGGGGACGGGCCGCCCTTTAGAGGAGCTCCAGCCTCCCCTCCCCTGGCACCTGCCCAACCGCTGCAGTCCCCGGGCTGCCCCCGCGCGGCGGAGGGGACCCAGCCCCGCGCCCCAGAGGCATGTGCCCGGGCTGGCACAGCTGGCACCCGCCGAGAAGTTGGGGAGCGATCGCCGGCCCGGGAGCCAGGCAGGGCCGCTCCGCCGGGCGCTCCCCGGAGGACACGACCGGGGCAGTGCCCTGGCTGCCCACAGCCGCTACCCCCTGGCAATGCGGGCCAGCTCCAGGCACCCCAGCCAGCGCGCCCGCCCCACGTGTCTGCAGGCTGGACACACAGTCCCAGTCCCGGGACTCTGCCCGGCCGGCGGAACCCGCCCCGCGGCTCTGCTTACCCGGGCCGGGCCGCGGCGGGACTCGGGCGAGGAGCGGGGGCGCCCGGAGCCGCTCGGCGGGAAGCCCAGTGGCCACGGGCGGTGCGCGGCGCCCGGCTGCACACTCCGAAGTGACAGGCGGGGCAGCGGGACAGGTGGGAGGCGCTGCCGGGTCGCCGCGGCGGGCGGGATCAGCCTCCGCTGAGCGCGCGGCCCCCCAGCTGCGGTTGCCATAGAGACCGTGCTAAGCCTAGGTGGGCTGAGAGCTGGGCTGGGCCGGGAGGAGCCGCGGGGCGGGGCGGCCGAGCTCGCGGCCACCTGCTCCATTGGCTGTCAGGGCGGTGGCTGCGCTGCCCCGCGCGGGCCCCAGTCCTGCCCCACGTGGATCCCGCCAGCTTCTGATCTGAAAGCCCAGCTAAGTGCCACATGGCCCCGAGAGCGGGGCCCGCGGCAATCGCCGTCCCGGCTTGGCGGTAATGGCTCTGCGGCCACTCGCCTCGCAAGACTCCTCTGTGTTCTCGTCCTCATAGCGCAGCGCCCTCCCAGGGCTAGACGCGAAGTTCAGGGGCTCGGTTCAGTCCATGGGACCACGTGCAAAGTTCGTGTCTGGATCCGGAGTCAGCATCCAAACACTCCCGAAAGTTTGGAAATGCTCAGAGCCAGGGGTTTGCTTTGAGACCATCTCTAAATTCCTCTGCAATCGAGGAGGAAGAGACGCTAATTTCTTGTTACCATCTGTGTAGCCAAATTTCTAAGGCACCAGTTAACTTGGCATGAAGTCTGCATCGCCAGTGTAAGTCTTAATAAGTACGGGCCCCGCAGCTCTAGCTTCAATATACAGTGATATAAAATGGGACATGGAGTCTGGAATTTTTCAGTGTAAATTGATATAATTTTGAATCCAGGGTGTTTAGTAACAAACAGCTACAGCCGTGCAAAATGCAGCACTGTCAGATCACAGCAGTTAGTGCAAATCTTTTATTGGTTGTGGGTCCTGGGGACAGAGAAGGAACGGGCTGGTAGGGATGGGTGAGAGGCACAGAGATTGAGGGATGATGGCCTGGAAAGGCAGGTGTGTCTGGAAGGGGTGGGGGAAATGGACAATGACATCTAAACCATTATGATTAGATAAAACATTTCTGTATCACTATACATTTACTCAGGGTGGGAAGAGGATCTTTGTGTCCCTCTTGCTTAATCCCCCATGCTGGAGCCAGGTTGAATCTGGCCCATAGAAATAAACACTTCCCTGCCCCCAAAGAACTGTCTAAAGCAAATACAGACAAGAGATGGAGCAACAGTTCAAAACAGTGAGGATCTCAGGATAATTGATGAGATGAAGGTGGTTTCCTGAAGATGGAAGTATACAAGGAGGGATTAAAGGTGCATGGCAGATGAAAGCAGTGAGGCTGTTCCTGGCAGAGGGGCAGCATGATATGGAAGGAGGGAGTGGGAAATGGAGAGGAAGAAGGCAATAAGGCCAGAGGATTGGAAGAGAGCCGGGAGTGAGAAGGGAAGTGGAGGAATGACAGCAGAGGTGAGAGTGGGGGAAAGATTACATAGGAGTACAAGGAGCTGGAATCTGATGTGGTTGGAGATGGGAAACCAATGGAGGGTTTCATGGAGTGGAGGGTGGTAATATAGTCAGAGTGCAAAGAGAGGAAAGGTGACTTAGGCAGTAGTGGGTGGGAGGGTGAGGGACAGACAATAATCAAGATGAGAGGTGACCAAAATGTGGACAAGGTGGGAGAGCAGTGGGGAAAGTAAGGGATGTGTAGATTAGGGAAATCCTAAAAAGAAGTGACCAGATTTAGCAGGAAACCAATTATGGGGGCAGGAGAGAGGAGTCAAAGGTGACACTGAGATTGCCTGGGAGGCAGGAAAAAGAGTGGAGTTCTCAGTGGAGTCAGATGAGAATAGGAGTCTATTAATCATAGTCAAGCACCTTGTACTGTGTGTAGGAAAGGCAAAATGCGTAAGTGTGAAACAAAGGGAGAAGAATATGGCTTGTCACCATCCCATGCAGCTTAGCTCTCACCTTCTCTATGCCACAGACCATTTATGGCATCACACAGCAGACTGAAAATTCTTTAAGGGGCCAGTCCTTCTCCCACTGAAGTCAGTGGCCAAACTCCCATTGACTTCAGGGTGAGCCACACCCGGCTGAACAATCACTGAGCCAAGGCCCTGATTCAGGAAAGTATCCCTGTTCAGGATATCATTTAAGCATATGTGGGACTTAAACATGTGCTTGATTTTAAGCATATGCTTATGTGCTGTCTTGAACAGGGATGGATTTAAGCACATGCTTAAGTGCTTTCCTGAATCAGGGCCCAAATTGTGAAGTCCTTACTCATTATCTATGTAGTACTTACTCAGGCAAAGTGCCCAGTGGAGATTTGGTCCAATGTATATGTCACTACAGGGAAGTGGTTCTGGGGATATGAATAAAGCAAAAGAAAGAGACTGGATGGCCAAAGGGTCAGAGCAGACCAGCTAGGCAGTCCCCTGTTTGAGCCCTGTAACAATATATATTACAGATGAAATTAAAAAACATGATGAGGTTTTTTTATTAAGTGCTGTTTATTATTAGATTGAATACCACAAGCAGACTAACAGAGATTAGCAGAGTCTTCTGCTCTAATTAATCAGGGAGGATTATGTATCTGTCCTCAGCCTCAACTCTAGTCCCGCAGGCTCCCCAGTATGCAGCGATTTATAACAACATTCAGCGTATGCTCCATCCAGCACAGGATTGTGGGTTTTAATTTAATGCAAACATCACTATAGATGGCTAAAGTCCTTTAGGTTTTCATCCACAAAAATGTCTTTCAAAAGTCACGATCTCTAACTGCATAACAAACGCTAGCTGGGAACCTCCCAGGAATGCCCTGCAACGAATCACAAAGATTTATGATTAAGGAACAATTTATGACTTTCTTTGGGAATATATGGGGCCTCACAATAAAAAAATCATTCAAATCCCCTACACCCACCCCAGCAGGTGAAATCTAAGGGTTGCTAATTTCAGATTACATTGAAACTTTCTTAAACAACCATTCAAGAGAAACAGCAATCAGTAGCTTAATGGAGATGTTCTTTGTTCTAACACAGATGGGGCACAATTGTACTCAGTACATTTTTGAAGATACATTGAGGCAATCTCTTAAGACAAGATGTGGCATCTTGTGCAAGTACTTTTCACTGTACTGTTCACAGTAATATACATGTAGAGTTGTTTTAGTTGGTTTGTTTAGAAGCACACCAAATTCTGCACTGACTCACTGGAATAAATCCACACATAGTTACAACATAAATCACAACCACATCCTTGTGGAGTTAAAAATAGAACCTTGGTCTTTCAGCTCTAAGAACATAGGCCTTGGACGCTGGAGCTAAAGAATGATTCCCTTAACTAGAAGCAATAGTAGGTTCTTTATCTTCTTTGTGGGCCCAGCCACAAAAGGGCAACCTCACTCACACAAAGCCAGTACATTGCATTACACTGGGTTTACAAGTCAGAACAAAATTTGGCCCGTTGGTTGGTTTTTTTGGGGCTAAATTACTGATGTGTGCTCTACTAGGCAAATGTAATAGACCTTGCTGAGGGAAGAAGTAGGACTGGGACAACATTATGTTTTCAAAGTTCAAAGCCCTATGGTTGCGAAAGTTGCCAAATCCATAGCTGTATTTTTTCTAGCATTTATTTTCTCTCAGTAAAGTTGTCTTTTCAGTCACAGAGAAGCATTTCTTCCTGTTAATTGGTTCAAATCCAGTCAGTCTGCCCACGCAAAAGTACACTATCAGCAAAGAGAAAAAATCCATTCATTTTAGATGATGCAGAGAAACATCAGCTCAGAAAGGAGTCACTGTCTCGTATGACTGAGTACGACAAAAGAGGCTTTCAACGAGACTTCACATTCCGGCGGAGTTGGATGAAGGGCTGAAGAATGGACCGCCTCAGAAAAACCTGTTAAACAGAGCTGGGAACCTGTTAAAGGTATAGATATGCCCAGTATGGAATTTTTGTCTTCAAATAAGCATATTCTTTTGTCCTTAACATAAGAATGACCATACTGGGTCAGACCAAAGGTCCATCCAGCCCAGTATCCTGTCTACCGACAGTGACCAATGCCAGGTGTCACAGAAGGAGTGAACCTAACAGGTAATGATCAAGTGATCTCTCTCCCGCCATCCATCTCCAATCTGACAAACAGAGGCTAGGGACACCATTCCTTACCCATCCTGGTTAATAGCCATTAATGGACTTAACCTCCATGAATTTATCTAGTTCTCTTTTAAACCTTGTTATAGTCCTAGCCTTCACAACCTCCTCAGGGAAGGAGTTCCACAGGTTGACTGTGTGCTGTGTGAAGAAGAACTTCCTTTTATTTGTTTTAAACCTGCTGCTCATTAATTTCATTTGGTGGCCCCTAGTTCTTATATTATGGGAACAAGTAAATAACTTTTCCTTATTCACTTTCTCCACACCACTCATGATTTTATATACCTCTATCATATCCCCCCTTAGTCTCCTCTTTTCCAAGCTGAAAAGTCCTAGCCTCTTTAATCTCTCCTCATATGGGACCCATTCCAAACCCTTAATCATTTTAGTTGCCCTTCTATGAACCTTTTCTAATGCCAGTATATCTTTTTTGAGATGAGATGACCACATCTGTACGCAGTATTCGAGATGTGGGTGTACCATGGATTTATATAAGGGCGATAAGATATTCTCCGTCTTATTCTCTATCCCCTTTTTGAATGATTCCTAACATCCTGTTTGCTTTTTTGACTACCGCTGCACACTGCGTGGACGTCTTCAGAGAACTATCCATGATAACTCCAAGATCTTTTTCCTGATTAGTTGTAGCTAAATTAACCCCCATCATATTGTATGTATAGTTGGGGTTATTTTTTCCAATGTGCATTACTTTACATTTATCCATGTTAAATTTCATTTGCCATTTTGTTGCCCAATCACTTAGTTTTGTGAGATCTTTTTGAAGTTCTTCACAGTTTGCTTTGGTCTTAACTATCTTGAGCAGTTTAGTATCATCTGCAAACT